AGAACAAGTTATTTGTTTTTCTTCCCTGAGGATGAGGCTTAAATTGCACCTCAACACAGGCCCTTTTCAACAGCCTCATTTAAAACAATGCGTTTGTCCTATGACTTTTTATTTTGATGCTTTAGTTGCTTTGTCTGACTCTTTTTTTCTTTCTTTTTGTGTTTGTTTGTTTTTACTATTGAACAGATTGTACGAGAGGACATAATATGTCCACCACCTCCACTTTTTCTTCCTCACCTAAATTTTATTATATATATATATTATATATATATATATAATTTTTACTATTTTTTGAAAGTTAGGTTTTTTAATTAATTATTATTTTTATTATGTGTATATGTCTGGATATGTGTATGTGTGCACATGTAGGTGGTCAAGGTAGCTAATAGAATAATATCAGTGGATATGCAATCACATGTGATTGTAAGTCATCAAATGTGGGAGATAGAAAACAAAGTCCTATCCCTTACCATGCACTCTCTATTTCTGAGCCATCTCTTTAGTCACTAAATTTTACATTCTAGAAACAGTATTCAAAATAGTCAAGATAAAGCAGTGATAAAAAGCAATATATTTTTCAAATTTAAGGCATTAATGTTAATATATGTAAGTGTTAAGTTTATTCAATTGTTGTAGACATGTTTAATAATTTGGTATTCTTATTTAGTTAAATGATTGGCAAACACACATCATTTTCATTATGTAGCTATGCATATTGATGTCTACCAAGTTTAGACTGCCAAGAAATTTTAAACCAAAGGAAGGAGACAACTATGAATTTTGCACTGTAGTTGAGTTTCAAGTAAAACTTTTTTTTCTTTTTACAACAAATGGAACATATAATAGAAAAGTTGGGTAGGAGGACAGAAAAGTGGTTGTTGTGATTGTGTAAGAGAAAAATTCTGTAGTTAAATATAAAAGATAGTGCAATAGAGAATGGTTTTATTGTTAAATGCAAGATTTTTTATGAAGTCTCCTGGACTCAAAGGTCGTATCATATACTTCATCTTCTTTTATATCTTTGAAAAGAACATTTTCTTCATTTGAAAATCAACAACTTTATATTAATATTTAATAATTTTATTTATGTTACTTCTAAAGGATATAACTTTAATGAACATGTTACTATTTTTGTGCCATAAGATTTTCAGATACAGTTAATTTGTAACTTAAAGCAAATAATATACAGAATCTGATGAGCACACTGAAACCAGTAAAAATATTTTATTTTTTATATTGCATGTTTTTCCTAATAACTCCACAACTTGAATTTCCTATTTATAATAAAATCAAATTATAGGTTTAACATATAATTATGTCAAAAAAGGACATATGATAATAATCTCAAACAACCCTATAACTATAAATAGTTTATATGAGGAAAAATAGTTAATATTTTGAAGAATCTTACAGAAATATTTTTGGTAAATTATCTAATTTTTCTAATTTTAAAACTATATTAACTAATTTCTTTAGTTTTAACAATTTATGAATGATGTTTCTGATATTGCAACTAATTTTAGATCATTTATTTTAGGGAGATATTTTCTCTTTAACATGTTTACTTATATTTACATACAGCTGCAGAATTCTTGCTATCATTTTACCATAATCAATAAATTAAAAAAAACACCTAGGACCATGGCAACCTTACTTGTGTGTTTGTCCAGTATTGTCTTATAACAAATCATATCACACAATAGATATATCACATAATAGTGATAAATCCACTGCTTTATCTAGTTGAACAAGTTGACTTAATGAATTATTTTGTGTGCAATTCATTATTTTTATAACATGAGCACCCTAACAGATGCATCAACTCATTTAGACTATATGGTACCCTGCTAAGGGAGAGTAATCTTTGAATAAATAGATCCCTGATGACCAGTAACTATTAGAATTGTTACACTTGGTTAATTTACACATGAAATAAGACTAGGTTTTCTATAAACTAGTAAGGGGATGCAATCTTCAGAGATTAAAATATGAGTTTAATTAAAATATACCAATACCTCAATGATACTGTGATTCAAAAAAAAATACAACTGGAAACCATGGCATACGAGAGACAGTCTAACAGAACGTGTGCGTCTACTTAATCAGAAGAAGTGATATGGGAAGCACTATTACTTTCACATTGATTCAAAGAGCATTGGGAAATAGAAAGTTAATCTAATCTATTTATCTTTACAGCATATAGTTTTACATCCAGTTCAAAGACAAGAAGCCTTGTCTATAGTGAGCTTTCCCTTAGCCCATCTTAAGGAGGGAGGTAGCCCACTTCTTGTCAGCATCATTATTTGACCCTCTCTTAGTGTGGAAGATTAGGGATGGGGTAGGAGGTCAGAGGGTGAATGCAGTCTATTCATCCATGAAGGATTTTATATATAATCATTTGGCAAAAATAGACACAGAGCAATGACATTTCATTATGTGACTGCCCTTAATCAAGAAGGAAGGTTATAGAAAAATGAAAATTTGTTCCATATAAAATAGCAGGTTTCAAAAAATAATAAAATTATAAGCAATATGAAAAGAATCTTCTAAAAACTAAGTGTGTTAATCACATCTCTGACATTTATTTTTATATATTACAATTAAATGCAAATTTTACTTGAATCTTTTGTGCTTTCCATATAATCTGTCACATTCCACCTTTTAGATAGACAAGCACTAATGTTCAGCTTGCTGTCTCATAATACAACTACAAATTAAGAAATATTTCTTTAAAATACCAGATAAGTAATTTATAGAAGATTGATAATTTATTATTAATTTGCCTGATTATTTTAGTATTCTCTCAATATGTGAGGTTATACCTATAATTATCACAGTATAACAAATAACCATTTATTACTGATGAAAATGTGACCATAGTTTGTAACTTTGTATTGGAGAACAGACTCAATTTTATCGAACTTTATTTTGGCTATTGATAATTTTATACTTACACTTTTAGTATATTAACACAAATTCAAATTAAAAGCTTTATTGAGTGATATTTAATGGTCCTTTTAAGTTGATAGGATAGCTAGAAAATACTCCCAAGCACTAAGTTATGCAAGTTGAAACTAACAATAAAGTTCATATGTTTCCTATTTTCTCTAGGTAAAAAAAAAATCATTAAAAAGAATGAGAAATTCATTAATAGAAAGAAGAAAATCAATCTAAGAAATAAGAAACACCTCCACTAGTTTTTTGCATTCGATACAAATGTTCATAAAGTCATAGTTGAGTATGACCTGCTTTAGTAGAATGGTACTTTAGTTTGGGGATATTCACATGTGTTTTATACACCTGAATAAAGCCAGGGCCTAGGACTGGTGCTGACTTACATAGGTACTATAGGTATTAACTATTCATAAAAATTCAGCCTGCAATCACTGCAAACTTTGTAGTGAACATGAATCTCAATCTTCATACACTTTTAATTTCCATAGACAATAATATTGGTATTATATACATATCTGACTTCCTCATTTTTAAAAATTGTTTTCCTTCCAAATACATGGTCAAGTAAATAACTACATATCATTTTCAACCGTCATTTTATTTCCACATGAGTAAACTAAACTACACCTGAGTACTTAATAACAATAATCTTTGAAGACGGATGAGGGACACGTCTGAAATTCTACCTCTGTGGACGTGTATGGCATTATAGCTGCTGTCACCCACATGACAATGTTACAGGGAATATATATATATATATATATTACAAATAATAAATAATTATGATTGCATATTCTTCAGATAAAAAATAATAAGTAAAACGTATCAATAATATTACTTATCAACAGGAATATGTGAATGTTTTCTGAATGACTGCTTCATTTCTCGATAAAGTAATATGGCCAGATACACACTTAGGACAAAAGTAAGGCTTTGGTCTTTGGCTTGCCTTCTCTCTCAACCTCCTATCAAGCACAAAGTCCCCTCTCTCATCTGACCTCTATTGGTACTTTCAGAAATTGTCCTCTTGACCATTACACATGTATCTTACCTGTTAAATGGCAAGTGTAATTGGTCAAAAGTGCAATAGACTTGAAGTCTGTGCAGAGTGTCTTTGTTAACAGGTGACATCTTGGTGATCCTCACCATGTCAGAGAGAGCATCCAGACAGGTATTGCTAGAAAACTTTTGTGGTCGTTTGATACTTGGCGTGAAAGCCATATAGGACATGCAGATGATGTTTTTCTATATCCTTAAACATTCATAGCAGAAATCCGAAGAGATATATTTCATGAAAAAAAAATGAGTGAAAGGAAAAAATACTCAAATATTTTACAGGCTTTTCATCATTTTTCCCCACACAGTATTTGCTTTCACTTTTCCACTACCCTATTGGTAAAAGTCCTCTAAATATCAGATAACAACTAGACTTTATGAATAGGATATTCATAACTTGGAATCTCAGATTTAGCACTCACTCATCTGCCCAGGTCTTTCAAAAATAGAAACAGCAACACAGATATGCGAGCATCTGTTGCAAGGATAATTTGAAAAAGTGAATGGTTGACAAAGTTAAGCAGCTGAGTAAGGTCTACCCACAGTTACTAGAGAACACGGGCTGATCATTGGTTACAGGTGTATAGGTACAGCCAGAGTCATGACCTTTCTGTCAAGAAGCTATGAAGGAAAATCCACACACTGCTGTTTTGAGAAAAATTCTCCAAGAAGCAGTTAGGTCTATGCCACACACGTTGACCTCCAGTGAGACTGCACAATCAGAAGCAATGAGACAAATGCCACTAAGCAACCCATGTGCTGAGGAAGCTCAAGCATTGGAAAGAATTCGAGATAGAAAGGAAGAGAGCTCCAGGGGCAGCTGGACCCAGGCAATGCAACCAGGGCTCTCAGATTAGGAAACATCCTAGACATCACAGTGCGGCAAGTCCAGAGGAGCTGACCCAGTGCACAAAGTTACCTGCAATAGTGGACACGAGAGCTCACTCCCAAGGCACCCTCCTGCCCCAGCCCTTTGGCTTGTCCCTTACCTTGGTTGGAGACATGACTGCAGTCGCCGGTCCAAGCGGTCAGCAGGGGCAAGAAGAAACCAAATTGCAAAAGAAATTCCCGGACTTCGCAGCCCCCCATGGCTCTCACTGGCTCTCTTCGCCTCTCCTTTAAAAAGAAGTGACAGTAACGCAGCCAGGTGTTCCTGATAGGGTGGGGGTCCTGGCCCGAGCTCTCTTCTTCTTCCTCCTCCTCTTCCTCCTCCACCCGGCCCGCAGGGGAAGTCCCGGGGCGCCCCCCGCGCGAGGCCCCGTGAGCAGGGCACGAGGGTCCAGGCTGTCCAGGTGCAGGAGCAGCTGCTTCGGAGGAGGGTGCTGCCTGCGCCGCCGGGGAGCTCCGGGCGGCTAGAGGCGAGGGGAATTGCATCCACCTCCGTGTCCCGCTCCAGCGAGGAGGACTATTCACTTGGGCCCAAGAGAGCGCGCGCACAAGAGCGAGCTCAGGCTATAGTTTGGGGGAGGGGATGAAGGACGGGGGAGGATGCCTGAAAGAGGGTACTGGGGGTTAATAGAGATGTCCAGACGGGTAGTGAAGGTGCAGTTCTGGACACCCAAACGTCTCTCTGCACCCAAGTTGACACTTGAGCCCAGAGCAGAAGGGGCACAGCAAATAGCAAGGGGAGCTTGGGCGACCAGAACTTTCCCTTGGCTGGTGTCTGGAGAACCCCGCAATGAGGCTCCGCCGGGTATCCAGTGGTCCCAAGGGAGCAGCGTACTGAGCGCTCAGCCTCTTCACTGAGTGACCTGGTCTGAGTGTCAAGTCCTAGCCACCACCGATTAGGTGGCATATGCGCCTCCCGCCGGCCATGGCAGAGGCTTACTTACTGGGTTTCACTGAAGCTACCTTAGTCCCCCAATCCCTCGCGTCCCTCCTCCCCCATATAATGTTAGACTGTCAGCTCTGGACACCACCTTCCCTTTTGCCACATTTCTCCCGCTGGAGGGGGTGAGGGTGGCAAGTCAGCGCCCTGGGCACAGCTCGGCGATGGTAGTGGTCAGTTCTGAAGTGTCTGAGTGCCAGCCTCCCAAACTTGGCCACCAGAGCGAACCAACAAGCTTTCTGGCCACCTCTCCTGTTCCAAGTCCTTGGAAAGCAACGATAGAGAGGAGTCTCTGCAGGCTGGAAGTAGACTGGTGCCTAGCACCTTGACTCGCCTAGGTCTTCGCGTCGGCATATGGGGGTGACTTCGCCAGGGAGGTCACCAGCATCATCATGGCAGTCCTGGTGCCTGGCTTCCGAGGACCTCGACAGTCCGCTGATCCGCTGAGGCAGTTGTGGCGGGCTAAGCGCTGACAGCAGCCCAAGAGCTTAGCTCTGCGTGGCCAAGTCCGAAGCAGAGTGCGCGCGGCTTCTGGTGCGCTCTCGTCCAGACGCCCCTTCTCAGAATGCGCTGCCTCCCAGTTCCGGGCGCTCCTAAGCCGCTGTACTGGCTACTTGGTGGGATCTGACCCTGGGCAGAAGAACAGGATTAGCTGATGGGAAGGGGTGTTGCCACCTGCCGTCTCCGAGCAGTCGTCCTGCTGCCTGCCGAGACCGGTGCACGGAGGGCAGGGCCCTAAAGCGCTGCTGAGCTCGGTGGAGCCCCGCGATCTGGCAGCAGCTGTGACTCAGGTGCAGCCAATTCGGCGCTAGAGGGGGTTAGTAGACAACAAAAATTCCCTCACTGCTTAAAGGTGTAAGAACTGGCTACACCTGCGAAAAGGCACGAGAATGGTTTTAGGCTAAACTTACAGTATTTGTTGAGTCTCACTGTAGAGACCTTATCACCGACATTGTAATTTCTGGAATGCATTAGTTAATGTCGTTATCGTTTTCGTTATTGAAGAGACGCAGATTGACTCTCTTGAGTAAGGATTTAAACAACAACAACAAAAAATCCATCTCCAAAGGCAACAGGAAGGGGTTATTTGAAGGTTTATTGACGGCACTGGAGAAAAGTGAAGCGAATTTCTATAGCATAGAGAGGATATTTTCCAAGTGGACATGGGGTTCAGATAGGGGATGGTTGTGTCAGGGACCTTAAAAGGGGTAGGTCTAAGACCAAAGTGTTCCATATTTTACCAGAAATTCTGGAAATGAAGCAGGTTTCCAGGCATTTTGATGATGCACAGAGTTGTGTGTGGTTCACATTCTAGTTAAGGGAATTTAGCCCATGCCTTACAGTCAGTCAATCAGAGGAAAAAAGACAGGAGCAACGGCCGGCCGGAATCTAAAGCTGCTCTCTCTCATGGAGAGAAATGTAACGTGCAAGTGTGATGACGCTTTCTAATTGGTGGCTACTTTCACAGTCATTATGAATTCATACACAGCTTTTCAAAGATGTCCACGCCAATTTAAATGTATGCAAATCACATCTACAAAGATGGAGTTCGTATGCCAGTGTTTACAGTAGTAAAATCTGATTTTGTTACTCACTTTACCAGTGTTACTGATATTGACGAATGGCATAGGCACTTGCAAATTCAATTTAGTTTACTAACTCAGGTGTAAAATAAAAATCTACATGAGCACACCACAAGAAGTTCTGTCTAATCTTTTCCGAGTGCATAATGACTATGCTGGTGGTTTAATTATATGTAATAATTCCTTTTCTGCTTATTCTCAGTGGAAAATAATTAACATAATTTCAGCATCACATTTATAAATGAACATTTAAACTCACGTTTTTATGTTTTATTTGAATCTTAAATTTGAAACAATTTATTATAAACAATGAAACAGTCAGAAGCTATACTTAAAATCATATTAGAAGGGAATGATTCTAATGGAAAGAAAATGAAGGGAATAACAAACAGAAGCAAAGCTGTGGGTCATTTTCCAAGACTCACGCTAAATTTCATAGCAGAATACGATGTCTGAACTTCAAAGTAGCTCTAACACTTGATTATACTGAATTTCCCTTCTAGCTCCTCTTCACTCCTTGTTTGAATAAGACATGGCAGAGCGTCACTGAATATGTATCCTCTATTCAGATGATGGCTGTCTTACTGATTGTGTCTTTTTAAGAAAAAAAATAGTGACAAGATTTTTGCCCCATATTGAAGCATGTGTCATATGTTTAGAATTACTTTGATACTGTTTCTTGAATTTTTAGAAGATAGGGAAAACTTATTCATTATTCAAGTACTTTATTAAGGTATATAAGTAAATTAATCCATGAATTGGATTGCAAATATTATGCATAAACATTATAATAACATTAATTAATAAGACAACTTAACCATATATATTCCTACAAAATATACCTACATATATGCATTCTAATTTTTTTATATATTCACTTTTCTTCACTCAGAAAAGATTTAAGTGTAAACTATTTTGTATGAATAAAACTAATTTTTTGTATAAGGCTGCCTTGGAACACTCAGGCCTAAACCAAAGGGGATAGCTCCATCAACTAGCTGTGGTCAGGGCTCAGAGAGCACCGTGGCAAAGGAGATAGAGTGTAAGAGTCAAAGGGGATGGAGGACTTCAGGATGCCAAGGCCCTATCAATCAACAGGAGCAAAGATCATATGAAGTCAGAGTCTGAAGCAGTGTGCACAGGTCTGCACCAGGTCCTTCCTGCTTAGTGTTTTTATGCGATTCCGGAGTGCAAAAATAAGTAGGTGTCTCTTATTCCTATGCCTATTCTTGGGCTCTTTTCCTTCTGTTGGTTTGCTTTATCAAACTTCAATGTGCTGATGTTCTGTTTTAGCATCTATTTTATTTTAGGTTCATCCCTTAGAATCTTGACTGTTTTCTAATGGGCGACAGATAGGGGGTGGATCCGAATGGAAAGGGAGGTGGGGAGGAACAGGGATGCCTGGAAGAAGGGCAAAGCATAATATGTGTGAGGAAAAACAATCTATTTTAAATAAAGGACAAGAAATAATAACTAGAAATAGTAAGATAAAATGCAGCCATCGGAATCCTGCGTGAACTAGATGCAGTTACTAAGCAGAGATACACTTCCATTTGTTTTTTTTTTAGCAGTGTTGTCATATTTGCTGACATGTGACAGTTTCAAAATTATAAGCCTCTCAAAGAACCAGATGCAATATTCATGTAGATTTATCTGCACTTGTCTATTTGAGTCATACCCATATTCATAAAGGCATTCACGTCCCATTTTTCAGAGCTATATTGTTCAGAATTCTTTTGTATTCTTTCAGAGCATTGTTCTTCAAGATATATGTGATCCCCTTTCAGGTAAGAAATGATTAAATTTTTATTAAGTGAAAGATATGTGACACAAAAACCCAGTCCAACTATTCACTTATAGTAGGAAAAAAAGCAGTATTCAATGCTATTTGCTTTGTAAAATGATGAAGAGATTGGAGATTTAACCTGCAATTAATTCCCTCGAGGAAAAACAAGAAGGATTATTTTGTTTAATACTCAGCATGTTTCAATGATGGGGAAATCTCAAGTATATTATTCTGGCAGAAAAGTAAATTAATCCATTTACAGAAGCAATTTGCATTCTCTGAGGTCAAGAAAGAAGAAACACAAATAAGAGCTCTGATCCTCAAAGATGCCGTGAAACATCAGATCTTAAAGATTAAGTCTGCACTGGAGATATACACACCTGCATGCGCCTTTATGCTGATACCAGCATCAGTGACCTACTGTGCACAATAAAAATATTTTTATATCATTAACTTTAATATCTGAATTAAGGATGTGGTTGACTTGTATATGATTTAGCCTGCAGCAATTAGAAGTAAAATTCAACAGCTAAAGTAAAAACAATCTAAAAACTTAAATATAGCTACTCTGAGGTTCTTTACTTAGAAATTACATATCTCTTTTTCAGTTAGCAAAGAGTTTCTTTAATATTTCTGTTCTGGATAAAACATTATATTGAAGATTAGACCCAAATATGTTTCCTGTTGTTTATATATTTTAAGGTATACTATAAAACAAATCATGATTAAATAAATGTAGCATAGTCTTTGATACTGAATATGTACTAATATAAATCAGCTTGATAGAAGTGATTTCTTGCTTTATTAAATTGGAAAATTTTATATTCAACTATAGAAGAATATCTAAACCCAAGTGTAAATACTTTGAAGCTTATTATGTTTCTAATAATAGAGGATTTAATCCTGAAGCACAAATGGGTCTTACTGTGAGCTTTGTTCTTAAGATGAACAGATTACTCTCATGATAACTCCCAGTTAGACAGATTCACATAGTATGTATTATGTGTATATAGTAATTTATAATGTTATATGGAGTACATTGTTAGTAGCAGAAGTTTTTTAAATAGATGTTAAAAATTAGAACAGTGGCGCCAAATATTTTTTCGTTAATAGATGTATAGGTAGAGCTATTGATATATTTAAAAAATCAGTAAAGATATCACAGCTTACCAAACAG